TGATATTACCATGTATGATTTGGTGAGAAGGCCACCAACACCAACACATTTCCTGTTATGACGGACTTATGGTCAAGCGAAATTTTTAAACTCATTGAATTACCATCATTCATCATTGATTCACTATTTTTGCTGAACTGCTAAAATTCATCGACCACCTCAATATATAATAAAAGAATTTTAATGCAGTTCCGATTGAGCGCTGGGTGCGCGTGCTTACATCTTGTTCACTGGCTCGCTGTAACGCCCCAGGCGCGTAGTACGACCCTGTAAACCCTTGGCCAGGAATTTATGATAGGTGGCTGTAGACCTGCCCACGGGCATGTGCGCTGCAACGTCTTGGAACAACGCGGCCATAACCATAGTCAGAACCACGCACACACACGCGCGCACATACACACACGTACACGCTCGCACGCACGCACAGACGCACAGGTACGCGCGCACAGACACACACGCACGCGCGCACAGACACACACATACACACACGCACGCTCGCACGCACGCACGCACGCACGCACGCACGCACACACACACACACACACACACACACACACACAGGGTTTTAGCGCTTTCTTACTTCTTTCCTATCCCATTCATTTTTTTCTTTCTTTCCTTTCTTCTTTGTTTCTCTCATCCCCGGTCAGTGCTTGCATTGGTAATTAATGGCGTGACCATCGCCGAGTATGCCAAGAGCCCTCTTGTTACCACCACCCCTCTTTCTATTCAGGACTCTGATCAGTTTCAGTTAGCCCACCTAGCATAACTCGCTCGTCCACTCGCGGGCACGGGAGGCAAATACAAATGATATCGATTAAGCCAATCACTGGATGAATATACCCCACAGTGCTAAACTCAGACATAAACGCGCTGAACAAAAGGATGACGCTGAGGCAGAGCATAGACAGACCGACCTTTCAACGGGCGGGCGCAGCAGAAGTATGGGGTTGCTCACATACACACCACATACATACAGCGTACAAGCAGCTACAGGACATCTCCACTCGCCATTGCATTAATGTACAAGGCCGTAAGTAATACAGTCGGGCAGACAGGCTTTCACAGTACGAAATTCTCCACTCCTGATGAAACAGAGAGACGCGAGTCTAGTTAGCGAAGCGGCTACTCCCACTAGACGCTATAATAACGTCACCAGCAAATTTAAAATGCGAGACGAGGCTTGCACAACCACAGAGGCGTATTCATAATAACTTGGTGCAATTTCATAACAATCATTGTATATCCAGAAGCTTTGACTATATAGAATCATAGAATCTTTCAAACTGTTTTTGTCACAGGCACTTTCAATAAAATATAATGCTAAATAAATACGAAATCTATTTACTACCAAAGTCTTAATGTTTCTCTACTCTCTTTCACGGCATAATAGGTGAAAGCGAGTAGAGAAACATTAAGACTTTGGTAGTAAATACATTTCGCATTTATTTAGCATTATATTTTATTGAAAGTGCCTGTGACAAAAACA